GAGCGGGAGGACGGGGGGGAGAGGAGAGCGGGAGGACGGGGGGAAGAGGAGAGCGGGAGGACGGGGGGAAGAGGAGAGCGGGAGGACGGGGGGGAAGAGGAGAGCGGGAGGACGGGGGGGGAGAGGAGAGCGGGAGGACGGGGGGGAAGAGGAGAGCGGGAGGACGGGGGGGAAGAGGAGAGCGGGAGGACGGGGGGGAGAGAGCGGGAGGATGGGGGGGAGAGGAGAGCGGGAGGACGGGGGGAAGAGGAGAGCGGGAGGACGGGGGGAAGAGGAGAGCGGGAGGACGGGGGGGGGAGAGCGAGAGGACGGGGGGAGAGCGGGAGGACGGGGGGGAAGAGGAGAGCGGGAGGACGGGGGGGAGAGAGGAGAGCGGGAGGACGGGGGGAAGAGGAGAGCGGGAGGACGGGGGGGAGAGCGAGAGAACGGGGGGAGAGCGGGAGGACGGGGGGGAAGAGGAGAGCGGGAGGACGGGGGGGAGAGAGGAGAGCGGGAGGACGGGGGGAAGAGGAGAGCGGGAGGACGGGGGGGAGAGGAGAGCGGGAGGACGGGGGGGAGAGGAGAGCGGGAGGACGGGGGGGAGAGGAGAGCGGGAGGACGGGGGGGGGAGAGAGTGGGAGGACGGGGGGAGAGCAGGAGGACGGGGGGGGAGAGGAGAGCGGGAGGACGGGGGGGGGAGAGAGCAGGAGGACGGGGGGAGAGCGGGAGGACGGGGGGGGGAGAGAGCAGGAGGACGGGGGGAGAGCGGGAGGACGGGGGGGAGAGCGGGAGGACGGGGGGGAGAGGAATGCGGGAGGACGGGGGGAAGAGGAGAGCGGGAGGACGGGGGGGAAGAGGAGAGCGGGAGGACGGGGGGGGGAGAGGAGAGCGGGAGGACGGGGGGGAGAGGAGAGCGGGAGGACGGGGGGGGAGAGGAGAGCGGGAGGACGGGGGGAGAGGAGAGCGGGAGGACGGGGGGAGAGCGGGAGGACGGGGGGAGAGCGGGAGGACGGGGGGAGAGCGGGAGGATGGGGGGGAGCGGGAGGACGGGGGGGAGAGCGGGAGGACGGGGGGGAGAGCGGGAGGACGGGGGGAGAGCAGGAGGATGGGGGGGAGCGCGAGGACGGGGGGGAGCGGGAGGACGGGGGGGGGAGAGCAGGAGGACGGGGGAGGAGAGCAGGAGGACGGGGGGAGAGCAGGAGGACGGGGGGGAGAGCAGGAGGATGGGGGGGAGCGGGAGGACGGGGGGGGGAGAGCAGGAGGACGGGGAAGAGGAGAGCAGGAGGACGGGGAAGAGGAGAGCAGGAGGACGGGGGAGGAGAGCAGGAGGACGGGGAAGAGGAGAGCAGGAGGAGGGGGGGGGAGAGGAGAGCGGGAGGAAGCGGGGGGGGGGGGGGGATCCCCATGGAAAGTTTACCTCTTAGCCAGGCACTGGTATCTCATGCCTGCAATCCTAGCTACTCAAACCCAGCTCAGGTAAGAAAGTCTGTGAGACGCTTATCTCCAGTTAACCAGTATAAAGCCGGAGAGGCTTAAAAGTGGTAGAGCCCTAGCCTTGAGCAAAAAGAGCTCAGGGACAGCGCCCAGGCCCTGAGTTCAAGCCCCAGGACCAACAAAAAAAGTAAAGAAGATGGGCATCAGTGGCTCACGCCTGTCATCCTATCTATTCAGGAGGCCGAGATCTGAGGACCACAGTTGGAAGCCAGCCTGGGCAGGAAAGTCCGTGAGACTCTTACCTCCAATTAATGACTAGAAAACCAGAAGTGGCGCTTTGGCTCAAGTGTTTGAGCTGAAGAGCTGAGGGACAGTGCCCAGGCCCAGAGTTCAAGCCCCACAACTGACAAAAAAAAAAGGGAAGGAAGGGAGGGAGGAAGGAAGGAAGGAAGGAAGGAAGGAAGAAGGAAAAAAGGAAGGAAGGAAAGGAGGAAGAAGGAAGGAAGGAGGAAGGAAGAAGGAAGGAAGGGAGCAAGTAGGAAGGAAGGAAGGGGGAAGGAAGGAAGGAAGGAAGGAAGGGGGAGGGAGAGAGGAAGGAAGGAAGGCAGGAAGGAGGAAGGAAGGAAGGGGGAGGGAGAGAGGGAGGGAGAGAGGAAGGAAGGAAGGAAGGAGAAAGGAGGAAGGAAGGCAGGAAGAAGGAAGGAGGAAGGAAGGCAGGAGGAAGGCAGGAGGAAGGAAGGCAGGAGGAAGGCAGGAGGAAGGAAGGCAGGAAGAAGTCAGGAGGAAGGAAGGCTGGAGGAAGGAAGGTTACTTCTTACCAAAGATGACACCAAGACATAGGGACAGGGCGTCTCTGCAGTCTGCCCCTGGCCGGGTCTCCTGCCCCCCGCGCTCCTGTGGCCCTCCCTTGTGTCCACAGTGCCCTGCTGGTTCATTGTCTTTACAGCTCTGCTAGATCCGCTGCCCCTGCTCGCTTGAGCCCTGGAGCTAGGGCAGCCCCTCCCACGGGGCCGGGAGGCTCCACGTCCCTTGTAAATAACACACACCTCTATCCCAGATCCTCTCCCCTAGCTCCCTGCTTGGGCACCACCCACCTTCCACGCGGTTCAGACTCGCCACGGCTTGCTTGTGTGTGCTTTGCTGGGCCGTGCCTCGGGGTCTGGAACGGCGCTCTGCAGTGGCCGCTGCTCAGTGAGTATGGGGCGCGTGGCGCTTTGTTTCACCAGAATCATGGCCAGGGCAGTTAATTGAGCTAGCCCAGACCAGACATTAGTTTGAACTTGAGTCTAGGGCGCCCTCCTGGAACCAGACAGAAGAAGAAAGGAAGAGACGGATGAGGAGATTGAAAAGCTCCTGAAATGGGAGTCGTGCTTGGTTTGCTCAGTGGGGAGGCAGGGCGTGTGGATGTGGTCGTGGGGGGCTTCTCCCTTGTGACCGTCTGTGTTGAGGGCTATGGGCTGTGGAATGCCAGCGGGGGGAGGGGGGTCACCTGGTGATGATCTTTTGGGTGGAGGGGGTGTTGGATGTGGGGCTTGAACTCAGGGCTCGGGCGCCGTCCCGGAGCTCATTTTGCTCCAAGCTCACACTGTACCACTTTGACCCACAGCTGCACTTCCGGTTTTCTGGTGGTTAACTGGAGATGAGAGTCTTACAGATGTTCCTGCCAGGCTGGCTTTGAACCGAGATACTCAGATTTCAGCCTCCTGAGTAGCTGGGATTATAGGCGTGAGCCACCCGCACCCAACTTTCATCCTGGTGATTTGATTTCTCCTCGGGCGGGTGTACGGGGGCAGCATGGTAGGGATGTGTTGCTTCTAATCTGCCATTTGTGAGAAGAGTAGTTGTTGAATCAGGCCCAAAATAAAAGTGAGGGAGCCCTGGGGCCCTCAGAATCCTGACTCGCATGCACAAACCTCAGGGTTTGGCCGTGTTTTGAGTGTTCAGGGGGCTGTCGTTGCTATTTGCAGTCTTAGGAACGTTCTGGATGGTGAAGAGAGCGTAATAATGGCTCTTGAGATGGATCAGGTATTGCCATGGGGCTGGCTCTGTCCAGCGTGTACCCCGAGCGTCTCCTTTTGTGATGTGGGAGTTGTTGGTCCAGCTCCATGAAGCCCTGGAGGGGAGACACCCTGTCACCTTCCTCCGTGGTTGGCAGAGCCCGGGCAAGCAGCAGGGGTGGGGGTTTGTGCCGGCGTCTCGCCGCCAGCCGTGACTAAGAGTGGCGCGTGAAAATAGCAGCTGAAAATGTCACCGCCCACCTGCCACACGTGCCAGGGAAGAAAGGAAACACTGGCCACGAGGAGGCCGTCTGTGCTCAGAATGAAGAAGCAACAAGTCCAGCCTGGCCCGGCGAGCCTCCCTTGACATCGGCTTTACTCGCAGCCGTCTTCGTTCGCAAGCCACAGACAGGTAGGCCCTTAGTTGGGTCCCTGTGGCTACGGCTCAGCAGATCCTGTTCATCCAGACTTGTCCCTCACCCCCCACCCCACAGAAGTGTACATGCGCTGCATGACATGCCACTTAAAACTTGCAGTGTTGGCCGGGCGCTGGTGGCTCACCCTGTCATCCTGCTACTCAGGAGGCTGAGATCTGACGATTACTGTCCAGAGCCAGCCTCAACAGGAGAGTCCAGGAGACTCTTCTCTCCAATAAACCACTAGAAAACCGGAAGTGGCGCTGTGGCTCAAGTGGTGGAGCGCTCACCTTGAGCTGAAGAGCGCAGGGACAGTGCCCAGGCCCAGAGTTCAAGCCCCACAACTGACAAAAATAATAAAAACTAAACAAAAAAAGTGCCAGCTTTGGACACCCCCTTTTTAGGTGTGCCAGGACTGGGGTTTGAACTCAGGGTGTAGACACTGTCTCTGAACCTTTTTTTGGGGGGTCTGGTCGTGGGGCCTGAACTCTGGGCCTGGGCGCTGTCCCTCAGCTCTTCAGCTCAAGGCTAGCGCTCTACCACTTGAGCCACAATACCACTTCCTGCTTTTTTTTCCTTTTTGCTTATGTGGTGCTGAGGAATCAAACCCAGGGCCTCTGGCATGCAAGGCAAGCGCTCTACCACTGAGCCACCTTCCCAGCCCTGAACTTTTTTTCTTTTTTTTTAACCTAAGGTTGGCCCTCTTCCATGTGAGCCGCAGCTCTACTTCCAGCCTTTTGTTTTAAAGTGATTAATTGGAGATAAGCATCTCAGGGACTTTTCTGCCCTGGCTTCAACCCTTAATCCTCAGCTCTGGGCATCCCCAGTGTCTAGGATTACAGGGGTGAGTCACCAGCGCTCAGCTTGGACGCTCCCGGCATCCCCAGTGTCTAGGATTACAGGGGTGAGTCACCAGCGCTCAGCTTGGACGCCCCCGGCATCCCCAGTGTCTAGGATTACAGGAGTGAGTCACCAGCGCTCAGCTTGGACGCCCCCGGCATCCCCAGTGTCTAGGATTACAGGGGTGAGTCACCAGCGCTCAGCTTGGACACCCCACTTATCATCGATTTCTCCACCTTCCGTAGTAGATTTAAAAAAAATGGTGAAAAATGTTTCCTATGGATGAACCTGGACGGCATCCCCTTGTTACGGTGACTGCCTGTCCTATCAACAGGAAGCCCCACCCCCTAAGAGGACTTCACCGGCCATCTCTGAAGGTAAGGTGAAGTTGGCCGATCAAAGGTTGAGGTGCCCCTAAGAGGGCCTGCAGAGGTCCCCAGCACCCTGCCCAGCCTGGCTGTGAGTCACAGAGTCAAATGAGCCACAGGAAAGGTGGAGGTAAGTGACTCAGAGACCCCAGAGCTGGACAGAGCTTTGCAAGGTACAGGATCCGCCTGGTGGTCCCGGGAGACGGTGGATTCTTCCCTGACCGCCTCCACCCAGAGATGAGAGCACTGAGAGCAGCCGGACACGCTCCGCACCCGGCAGCTGCACCATCCCCTGGCGGAGCTGCTCGTGCCCACTCTGTGGCCACCTGGTGTGGACATGTGGGAAGCTTGCATTTTGGGGAGGCCTGGCATGGAGGGAGGAGGGAGAGGTGGCTGTGAACCCCGCGGAGCTGTGGGATCTGTGAGCACTGGATGTGGGGGCTCCTTCCTGGTGAGTCCTGGCGTAGCACGCCGCCAGAAGGGCGGCGGCCACACGTCTTTGACTCAGTTTCCTGGCAAAGAATAAGTCCATTCTGGACACTTAGCTTTTGTGCTAATGCTGGGATTTGAACTCAGGGCCTTGTACCCTCATTCAGCTTTCCCCTCACTGCTGGTGCTTTACCAGTTGAGCTTTCTGGCTGGTTCATTGGACACAAGAGTCTCTAGACTGTTCTGCCCAGGCTGGCTTTGAACCGTGACCCTCAGATCTCAGCCTCCTGAGTAGCTAGGATGACAGGCGTGAGCCACCGGCGCCTGGCTTGAGGTCAAGGTTTTTTGCTCCGAGTAGCTCTGAGCAGGCTGCAGCTCTGCCCCTTCCCACGCCCTGTCTGCCCTGCATCACGCCGAGCACTAGGCTGCACCCCTCAGATTCCCCTCCTCCCCCCATTGCACATCCACTCACCCTCAGTGAAAAAATGCCATGGTCCAGGCGCTGGTGGCTCACGCCTGTCACCCAGCTACTCAGGAAACAGATCTGAAGAATCACGGTTCAAAGCCAGCCTTGGAGACAAACCCCAGAGACATAGCTCCAGTTTACCAGCAAAAAGCCAAACGTGGAGACAAGACTCAAGTGGTAGAGTACCAGCCCGTGAGCAGAAAAAGCCAAGTATGAATGAAGAGGCCCTGAGTTCAACCAAACAAAAAGTAAACTTCATCAACAACAGAATCAGGATGTTAACTGATTCCCCTTCAGGGCTCAGAAGCACACACACACACACACACACACACACACACACACGCACACACGTGCGTACACACAACCCCAGGGAAATTCCTGGCCCTGCCTGCTTTGAAAAGACTCCACACCTCCCACGCCTGTGAGAGGGAAGAGTATCTGACCTGGTCTGCATCTGCGCAGGAGATTGTCCGTAGGCGGGCTGGGAAGGTGGCTCAGTGGTAGAGCGCTTGCCTTGCATGCTTGAGGCCCTGGGTTCGATTCCTCAGCACCACATAAGAAAAAAGCCCGAAGTGGCGCTGTGGCTCAAGTGGTAGAGCACTCTGCCTTGAGCTGAAGAGCTGAGGGACAGCGCCCAGGCCCAGAGTTCAGGCCCAGGACCGGACCCCAAAAAAAAAAAAGAAAAGAAAAGAGATTGTCTGTAGGCTCATGGTTGGAGCATCTCCGCTCCTTATGTTATTTTTGGAGGTCTGTTATATAGGACTGCTTCATCGCTGAGTGGTTTTCTTTGCTTTCGTAAAAACCATAGTTTCTAACTCAGTTGTATAAGTCGTACATTTCCCTCAGCATCCAGGATGACATGATGATAAATTCAGCAAACTTCCATCTACCTTCGCTTTTCCCTTTCATTTCTTCATCTAAATTTCCTTCGGGAAGTCCTCCAAGCAATTTCCTGAGGCGATAAAAAAATTGGCTCGTTATTGGCGTTTTTATTTTCACACCTGGTGCATCTCAATATTGATTCCCTAATCATGAAGCCGATTTGCACACGGCCTTCCAGCACTTTATCTTCCTCTACTTTCCTTCTTCCTTCTCCCTCCTTCTACTTCCTCTTCCCTCTTCCTGCTTTCCTCCTCCCACCTTCTTCCTCCTTCCTAATGAGTCAGAGTTCAAAGTTGGAGACACTGGAGTTCAGGTTGGCTTTGAACTCTTTGTATGTGCATGTGTGTGTGTGTTGTGTGTACGTGTGCACGCGCGCATGCGTGTGTGTTGTGTGTGCATGTGCACGTGCGTGTGTGTTGTGTGTGCGGTGTGCACACGTGTGCATGTGTTGTGTGTACGTGCATGCATGTGTGCACGTGTGTATTGTGTGTGCGTGTGCATGTGTGTTGTGTGTGCGTGTGTGCACGCGCACGCGTGTGTGGTGGGGTGTGTGCGTGTGCACATCTGCGTGCGCGCACGTGTGTGTGCTGTGTGCGCGCGTGCACGTGTGTGTGCGCGTGCACGTGTTCTGTGCACTTGCACGTGTGTGTGTGTGCGTGTGTGTGCGCGCGCCGGTGTGTGTGTTGTGTGCATGTGTGTGAGTGTGCGTGCGCACGCGTGTGTGTGGGTGTGTTTGCGTGTGTGTGCACGTGCAGTGTGGTATGTGTGTGCGGTGCGTGTGCGCACGTGTGGTGTGTGTGCGCATGCGTTGTGTGCATGCGTGTGCGTGCACACGCGTGTGTGCATGTGCGCGTGTTGTGTGCATGTGTGCACGTGTGTGTGGGTGTGTGTGCGCGTACGTGTGTGGTGTGTGCGTGTGTGTCGTGTGCACGCGTGTGTGTGCGCGTGTGAGCATGCACGTGTGTTGTGTGTGTGAGTGTGTGTGCGCGCGCACGTGTGTGTGGTGTGTGTGAGCGCAGGTGTGTTGTGTGTGCGTGCGTGTGCACGCGTGTGTGTGGTGTGTGTGTGCGCGCGTGCGTGTGTGGTGTGTGTGCGTGTGCGCACGTGTGTGGTGTGTGCATGTGTGTGGTGTGTGCGTGCATGTGTGTGGTGTGTGTGCGTGTGTGGTGTGTGTGCGTGTGCGCATGCGTGTGCGCGTGTGCGTGTTGTGTGGTGTGTGTGTGCACGCGCGTGTGTGTGGTGTGTGCGTGCACGTGTGTGGTGTGTGTGTTTGTGTGGTGTGTGTGTGTGATGTGTGTGCATGCGCGCGTGTGTGTGGTGTGTACACGCGCGCGTGTGTGGTGTGTGTGTGCATGTGCGTGTGCATGTGTGTGTGTGCGTGCGCGAGTGTGTGTGTGGTGTGTGTGTGCGTGTGCGCACGTGTGTGGTGTGTGCATGTGTGTGGTGTGTGCGTGCACGTGTGTGGTGTGTGTGCGTGTGCGCACGTGTGTGGTGTGTGCGTGTGTGTGGTGTGTGCGTGCACGTGTGTGGTGTGTGTGTGTGGTGTGTGTGTGCATGTGCGCGTGCGTGTGTGCGCGTGCGTGTTGTGTGGTGTGTGTGTGCACACGTGTGTGTGTGCATGTGCGCGCGTGCGTGTGTGGTGTGTGCGTGTGTGTGCGTGTGTGCATGCGTGTGTGCGTGTGCGTGTTGTGGTGTGTGTGTGGTGTGTGTGGTGTGTGCGCGCGTGCGTGTGTATACTGAGGTTTGAATGCAGGGCCTCATGCTTGCTAGGCAGGCGTTTTACCACTTGAACCATACCTCGTACCTCCAGCTGCTTTTGCTTTAGTTGTTTTTCAGGGAGGATCTCGTGCTTTTTTTTTCTGCTTGTGACTGGTCTGAGCCTAAGCCTGGGTGTGGGGAGGACCGTGACCCTGGGGATTGTTGGGAGGCTGCCTCAGTTTACCTACTCTCTTAGCTGCATTCTATGTGGGACTCCACCTGCCACTCCATGCTACTTCATGATTTTCCCACAGAGTATTCCTGAACAGGAAGGTCATTTCTGGAGGCACGTGGCAGTCCTGGTTCAGGGGACACAGCACATGGTATCTACTATCCTGTGTCCTCAAGATGGACAGCATGATCACCCTTGATCACAGTCCTGGGGCTTGAACGCAGCCTGGGCACTGTCCCTCACGGCTAGCGCTCTACTACTTCAGCCACAGCACCACTTCTAGTTTTTCACTAGTTAATTGGAGATCAGAGTCTCACGGACTTTTCCGCCAGGGCTGCCTTTGGACTGCGATCCTCAGATCTCAGCCCCCTGAGTAGCTAGGATGACAGCATGAGCCACCAGTGCCCACCTTGTCACTGCATTTTACAGATGGAGAAACGGAAACAGAGAAGTAGAGAGACTTTCCCAAAGCCGCACAGAAGGTGATGGTTGACACTTGACTGGAAGACGCAGGGTGGAGGGTCCCTGGAGCCCAAGGATGCCCCCCTCCGCTGCCCCTGAGGGGAAGCTGCAGAACCTCCGGGTGAAGGGGTGACATAGGTAAATCCCCCGGACGCAACACTTCCTAGAGCATTTGGCCGTTCTGGACATGCTGATGTCTGGTGTGGACCCTGTCCACGGGGGCGGGGGGCGGAGGAGGGGGGGCGAGCAGCTGCTGGCATAGCTAGACTCCCACCGCAGCCTAGAACAGCATTTTTTCACGATGTCTTTTCCCATTACAGCCTCTCCTTTATCCCGACCTGCGGGAGCCCTCCAAGCTATTTGTTCCCTTTGCAGTTGACCCCCCCACACACCCACCTGCAAACCCAGAAACTCATTCCTTCTTCTGAACAGAGAAAAATGGCACCTAATTAAGATCTGGGGGCTTCTGCCGTTCTTTGAAATGTACTTTGCTCTGCAAGTTAATAATCTCTATCGATCACCCTTTTCAGGGCAAGTAAGTCACTCTGGGAGACAGTGGCAGTGTGAATTGTACCTGACTTACCTGAAATGGCTTTGAACTTGTAAAAGGTCCCCCTTTCGCTGTGGGGTTGAAATACTCAGAACTCTCCCAGCGGCTCTAATTACAGCAGCTATTTAGTTAGCACCAGAGATGTACCTGCTACAGCACCTGCAGGACTTCAGGTCCCCAGAAAGACTCTGCAGTACCTGGGGATTATTATGATTATTGTTGTTGTTGTTGTTATGTGTGTGTGTGTGTGTGTGACAGACAGAGAGAGAGGTCACACCCATACTGGGGCTTAAACTCAGGGCTGGGCACTGCTGCTTAGCTTTTTGTTCAAGGCTCGCTTTCCACCCCTTGAGCCACAGCTCTGCTTCTGGCTTCCTGCTAGTTAATTGGAGAAAAGAGTCTCATGGACTGCCTAAGCTGGCTTCAAACCATGATCCTCGATCTCAGTCTCCTGAGTCACTAGGATTACAGGTGTGACCACCAGTGCCCAGTGCCCAGTGTGAGCATGTGTCTCCTTCAGTAGATCTGATCTAGAAGCAGCTTTGCCCCTCCTGGTGGCCACATCTGAGCCTCTGCCTGCGGCGCGCTGGGCACCAAGCACACTGGTAACAAGACCTCCTGCCTTCCTCTTCATGGCCTCCCTGAGGGGTCCCCATGACCTTGCGGCTCACATGCCACACCCCAAGTCCCAAGTGCCCTCCACTCA